TATAATCCCGTTCTCTCTAGGTTTTGTAGTTTTTTTAAAATAATTTGTATACAATCAGGGAAAAGAAGCCTGCACATGACTTGCATACATTTTACATACAATTATATATTGTATATATTTTGTATGTTATTTGTATGTCCAATGATATATCGGACATATAAATAACATACACATGACATATAAAATAGTACAACTTATTTTTATAATATTCTTCTTCTTCTTTTTCGAGTTTCAATTTAAAATTCCGACCAAAACTAACTCTAATCTTGACGAAACTCCCTCAAAATACAATTATACACTTATTATGATATTTTATTATATTGTATATAAATTGGATTTCATATCCTATGAACTTTACCTTACAAAAAATATCGCTAAGTTACTCAAACTTTTACCGAATAACTTCAAATTTAACCACAATTCAAAATTATATCCCCAATATAAATTTTTTTAACAAACCACAAAACCCATTTATGAGTTTTAAAGCTTTTAAAAACCCTAACAATATTTTTAATTTTTTACTTTAATTTACCCAACAATATTTAAATCGGTGATGATAAACATGAATATCACTATGAAATTAGTTTATAACGCATATCTTCTTAACACCCTATTAATAGGTTAAAAAAAGTTTCATATTATATACAGAATAGGCTAAATTATGTAAGAAAAAAAATATAGACTAAATTAGTTGGGGAATAAGTACCCCACCCCTACTTCCCTATAACTGTTTCTATAGTATACAAACAAAATAATTATCAACACAGTACAAACAAAACTAATAAAAATATTACAAATTATCAACCTAACGCAAGCATGTCATTAATATTTTGTATTATAGTCTATTTTAAATAATGATGAACTCCACACTAACTAGGTTGACTTCGTGGTGCAATGGGATTGGAGATCATATTTTTTAGGAAATTTGCACCGTACAAAAAGATTTGTTCAGATATATAATTAAATGAGAAGCTTAAATTTGGAGATTCTAGGCTTAAATGTAGGGATTCTATCGTAATATTAACTCATATGATTTCTGCATGAAAAAAGAATAGGATTTTTTTGTTATATAATGTAAACATAACTTTTGTACCAAATATAATAATGAAATCGATAATACTTAAGCTTCCCAACATACTGTGACCACACAACTAAAGAGTTCATTTAGAAATATACATGATAATTATCTTCTTTGCCTTTTACTGAATTTGTTAATATGAAGGATTTTAAATTTTCAAAAAAAGTTAGGAGGATTATTTTTATTTTTAATACATAGCTTGAATTACCCGCTAGTATATTATTTATACGGATAAAACCACTAATGTTACGAATTTTTGAATGCGCTAAATACTAATGAAAAATATTATAATACCTCAAATTCAATCAAAACGTTAGATTGTAACCCACTTTTAGAGTCACCATTGAAGTAATACCCGCATTGTACAAAATTTTACAAAGTATATCCGTTCGGATATGAAGTAGTTCAATCTATTCAATGCAACTTCAGAAATCAAATCTGAAGTTCTTCTATCTTACAATCAAAACGTTAGATTGTAACTTAAGACCTAATAAGAATAGTACTAACCATGGGAGGAAGAGGACGACCTAAACGAAACTCTGCAAAAATTCCGTCCACTGATCCGAGATCCACCGATGCAAGGAATGCAGTAATGGAACTTTTTGTCTCATCCAAAGGGGTAAGAATTGAGGAGCCAACTGAAAACACCGAGTGAGCAGAGCAATATAGTCTCAGATCAAGCAATCAACAATGGAAAGCAGAAAGCCGTGAATCGTGATAGCAATACCTGAAAGTAGTAGTGGAATAGGTCATAGATCTGGGAGCGGAATGGCAGAGATGAACTCAAAAACAACAAATACCAATGCAACAGTGCCATGCAAATCTGACAAGGCTGAAAATCCCAAAGACACTGACCAAATGGTGAAGGCAAATGGAATTCAATCATGGGCAAATGTTGTAGTAGGGAATAAGCTGGCATCGAGAGGTATGAATCTTCAATATATTGCACCAATGATATAAGATGGGAAGAAAATTGTGCAATTAGACCTAGAGGATGTTGAGCAGGAAAATGAAAAATGAAGCACAACTATTGTTCTGTATTTCATTGGGAATTCACCATCCACAGGAGCAATGGAACGATTTCTTGCTTCAGTAGGTAAGTATTCCATGAAACCCCAGATCTACTATCATAATGAAGACTATTTTGTAAATCGATTTGCAAATTTGGAGGAAAGAAACCAAGTCCTTTATACTGGGCCTCATACCATTAACAATTGTCCTATTGTAATGAAAGCATGGACACCAGAGCTCAATTTGCATGAAGAAGTTCTTAGAACCATTCAGATGTGGGTGAAGTTTTCAAATCTTCTCCTGAACTACTGGAGCATGAAGGCACTAAGCAAAATTGGTAGTACCCTGGGTAATCCAGTATATGCTGATGACTGTACAACTAGTACAGTTGGAATATCTTATGCTAGAATGCTGATTGAGATGAACATTACTAAACCTCTACCTAGAAGGATGAAGCTGCAGGACCCAAAGGGGAAAATAATTGAGCAAGAGGTAACCTATGACTGGGAACCTACATATTGCACCACATGTCTACAGATAGGACACAGTTGCAATGAGAACATAATGCAACAACCACAAAGGCAAGCATACAAAGGGAGAGGGAATAAAGTCAAACAAATATAGCAAAAGACTGAGAAGTCTGGACCTAAGGAGAATGATCAGGGGAGGGAGCAAACAAAGAGGGTGGAAACGCCAAAGCCCCCAGAGGACAATACAATACAGCTTAGTGCATCTACTGAGCAACCTGAAGAAGAAAGGTGGACAACAGTAAGTGGAAAATCGGCAGCAAGGATGACAAAAATAAAGCAAGCTAACGACAAGGTTCTTGGCGGCAATAATGGGTTCCAATCCGTAGTAAGAGGACAAGAGCACACAAAATGATCCAGGACCAATCAATATGCAGATGAGGTCTTATATGGGGCAAGAGCAATATCATGATACACAATTCATACTAGTATGAGTGTAATTACATGGAATGTTAGAGGTATAAATAAAGCATACAAGTAAAATGAGACAAAGGAGTTCATAAAGCAGAATAAAAAAGTAGTGATTGCACTAGTAGAACATAGAATAAATGAGCAGAAAGCTAGTAGTACTATCAGCAAATTACCCCAGGATGGCAATGGATATCAAACTTCAGCAACAACAATAAGAGCAGAATATGGATTCTTTGGATCCACGAATTTTTGATTTTGAACTAATTAACATGGATTGTCAGTACATACATGGACAAGTCAGAACTCACACAAGATTGGTATCATTTGGATTTACTATAGTATATGGCTTACATACGATTAAAGATAGGTTGAGTATGTCGCAAAAATCGAGGCAAATAAACAGTATACAATAGGGACCGTGGATAGCAATGGGAGATTTTAATTCAGTACTTAATAGTCAAGACAAACAACATGGTACTGTAATATAAGCTATGGAAACAAAGGATTTCAGGGAGTTCATGACTGATGCTGGCATGAATGAATTACCTACTGTTGGTAGAGACTATACATGGACAAATAATCATACTTACAACAGGATAGACAGGGGAATGGTTAACACAAACTAGATGCTGACAATGCCTAATCTGTATATACAGATCCTAGAACTATCATTCTCTGATCATTCCCCCCTTAAGTTGATGATCACAAAAATGCAGAGGAAGAAAGCTAGTTTGTTCGGGTTTTTTAATTGCCTGGCTGATCACCCCCAATTCCTATCAGAAGTGGAGCAAACATGGAGTACAATTGGAGATACTGGAAACCTACAAGGATATGGAACAAGCTCAAGAGAGTTAAACAAGTCATTAAGGGCCTTAACACGTAACAATACAAAGGTGTTGATGGCAGAATCAAAGAAATTAGAAGGGAACTACAAGAGGTGCAGGAGAAAATGGGCTGTAGAAAGATGAATCAAGAACTATTGAGAAAGAGAAGGAACTGAAAAGTAACCTAGAGAAGTGGATACTGATTGAAGAAAACATCTATAGGCAAAGGTCAAGGGTGCAATGGCTGAAGCTGAGAGATTCTAATTCTGCATATTTCTTTGCACATATGAAGAATAGGAACACTTTAAATGGAATCCATAGTCTCACTACTGGTCTAGGGGTTCAGGTACACATGGAGAAAATAGAGGTTGAAGTACTTGGCTACTATAAACAGTTGCTAGGGTCAAATGCTCTTGCAATCCCAGCAATAGATCCAAATGTAATAAAAAGAGGGGCAATTCTCAATAGAGAGCAACAACATCAATTGATACTACCTGTTACAAGGCAAGAGGTATGGAAAGCTCTACAAGATATAGATGGCTTGAAGGCCCAAGGATATGATAGACTCAATGCAGTTTTCTTCAAGAAATCATGGAATATCATAGGGGAAGATGTAACACAAGTTGTACTGAATTTCTTTCAATCATCACAGATGTTCAAGCCAGTTAACTGTACTTCAATAACTCTTATACCCAAAGTCAGGAATCCTGCTACCATAAAGGAGTATATACCTATTTCCTGTTGCACTACAATCTAGAAAATCATTTCAAAGGTTCTGACTAGTCGACTACAAGGAGTCATGGATGATTTAATAGATAAGACTCAATCTGCTTTTGTTCCTGGAAGAGTTATTATTGATAATATCATACTGAGTCATGAGCTAATAAAAGGGTATGGGAGGAAAGGGGTGTCACCAAGGTGCATGATGAAGCTGGACATGCAGAAGACATATGACTCACTTGAATGGCCTTTTCTTGAACAGGTATTATGTGCCTTAGAATTTCTAGAGAAAATTGTGAAATGGATAATGACTTGTGTACAAAGTGTTACTTACACCATCATCTTAAATGGCTCACCAACTCAACCATTTGATGCTAGGAAAGGGCTTAGACAAGGGGACCCCTATCCCCTTTCCTATTTGTACTAGCAATGGAGTACCTCAACAGAAGATTGAAGTCATTGCACTGTATCCCGGACTTCAACTTTCATCTCATATGTGCCAAGATGCAGATCATACAACTTGGATTTGCAGATGACCTTTTATTGTTTTGCAGAGGAGATACATTTTCAGTTCAACTACTATACAAGTGTTTCCTGGAGTTCTCAAGAGCATCAGGACTGGAAATTAATAAAAAGAAAAGCTCCATCTTCTTTTGTGGTGTTTCACAGGATATTCAAAAAGAAATACTGGAGTTCCTTGGCATTCCAAGAGGGAAGTTGTCAGTGAGATATCTTGGAGTACCTTTAAGCTCTAAAAGAGTGTCAATAACTCAATGCCAACCTCTAATTGAAAAACTAGTGGGAAGAATCACATCCTGGACAGCCAAATTATTATCATATGCAACGAGATTGCAACTCGTCAAAAGTGTCCTATTTTCTATTCAAACTTTATGGGCTCAAATCTGCATGCTACCAAAGAAGATTACAAGAATGGTAGAGGCAATTTGCAGGAGTTATTTTATGGACATGGGGTAGCACTATATCAAAGAAAGCTCTCCTAGCTTGGGAGAAAGTCTATCAGCCTAAGTCAGCAGATGGTTTCAATGTAATGGACATATCCCTATGGAACAAAGCAGCCATTAGCAAGAAGCTATGGAACCTATGCAAGGAGAAGAATAAACTATGGATCAAATGGGTGCATTGTTACTATATAAAAAGCAAGCACGTATGGGAGGTGCAACCTAGCCAAGCTTCATGGATTATGAGGAAGATTCTGAAAGCCAAAGAAAACTTTGAGAAGGCTGGCTACACCTACGAAGATCTAATGCAGATGCAAACTTGCTCCATCAAACACTTATATCATAAACTGCGAGGAGACTTCAACAAAGTGAGCTGGAGGAAGTTGGTATGCAACAATGCAGGATGTCCTAGGTGGGTATTCACGCTAACATTGGTGGCTCATGGTAGGCTATACACAAAGGGTAGGTTGCTAAAGCGGGGCATTCATAATGATCAACAATGTCCTTTATGTTCACATGCAAACGAATCCATTCAGCATATGTTCTTTGAATGTCAATATGCTGCTGCACTATGAAAAAGACTGCTCAACTGGTAAGGTATCCACAGGAACACCTATGCCTGGTCTGAGGAATTACTTTGGATAGAGAACTGGGCTAAAAACAGAAGTGCAAAAGCATAATTATTCAAAGTTGTGCTAGCATGCTGCGTGTATTTTGTGTGGCAGGAGAGGAATGCAAGACTCTTTCAAGCCAAGTCGAGGGATTGTGAGACACTTAGCAAATTAAGTGTACAAGAAGTGCATTGTCGAAGCAACAGGAAAATAGAGAAAATACTGAACATGTTGGACTACTATCCGATATAATAGTTAGTGACTATTAAAAGGGCTGTAGAAAGAATGTATAGAGGAGGGAAGGGAAATGCAGTAAAGCTTTGAACATGACAAAGCTCTAATATTTTGAACATGACAGAGCTCTAATGTATAGAATGTAAAGATATTAGGTTCATTTATTAACAGGCTAGCAATTGGACCATAAAGTATCGGTACACTACCATAAAACTTTCCAAAGTATTGGTACACCCATGGGTTTCGTTTTTACACTTCTTCTCGTTGCAGCTACGATTTAGTATCTATCTCACGTTAACTCTAGATTATAATTATTCTTTGTACATTATTGTCCATGTCAACTTTTTTAGGTAGATAATGTCTACATATTTCATATATATGCATGTCTTTGCATGCATGATGATTAAAGGTGTTTTTTAATTAATATTTTAATTTTACTAATTATGATGATAAACTGTTTCAGTTAATATGGCTTGGTTCTCTACGATGCATTTTACGACTGCAACGAATGTTGATCGTGATCTCCTTCGAGTTAAGAGGAGTCTGCTCCCACTTATTACATGTGAACGAACTTGTAAATCAGACAGTGATTGCAATGATGGTTGGTTTTGCAAATATTGTAGGGGAAACAGCTATCGCCAGAAATGTATAGGGTAAAAGAACATTGGTGTCTAATTGCAACTCTTGTCCAGCTATCGCCGGATTTTTCTGTCAAATACTTATGTAATCTTATGTTATGTTTCTTTTTCTTGTCTGTTTATTTAAAATCTTTTATCATTCATCTTTTTTTTTTTTTTAATATGTTCTCTTTAGACTAGCTATTCTTAGATTTCTATTCTCTGGCAGTTTTCACGAAAACAAATTCGAAAATTTAACACTAAACATGCACGAGAAAATAAAATTGAATTAAGTACTGACGTGTGACTTAATTTAAAAGTCTATTTAACATGAAAATTTCTAAAATTTATATAGCTCATAGTTGAAACTGACTGATATGTAGGATCGGAATACATGTTTTATACAATTGAACGCTATTGAGAAATATTACTAGAGATTCAATTAATTTACTGTAAAACTAATGCATAGTTTATTATGACTATTTCACTAACTTAACATTAAAGAAATCCACTACAAGATGTCACATTTCAAGCTGTAATGTTACTAATTATGTACAAGGGACTTCCTAATTATTATTGCAGAGTACATGAGAGTAAAGTTAAAACAGTCTTTTACGCCTGGGCAGTTCTGGTCCTAGTTTCCAAGAAATAAACACTTTTAGAAAATTTTGATTGTTAAATTTAAGAGAAATTACGAAAAAAAAAAAGAATTTAATGTGAACTCATACTTGAGGGTGCAATTTTTGTAACTTATGCTATTGTTGATCTATTTCTGATGCCTATTGCAGTTTTTGGTCTATTTATGGTGCTTGATGCAATTTTTGATGTTGCGGTTTCAAGTGTTTCTAGTTAAATTTTTTTGTCATCGCTCCAATTAAATCTAACTCTAAAATTTGTTGAATATTTGATGGAAACAAAAAGTGCTCATGTTTGGTAAACTTAAGGGAACAATACTATTTAAGAGTATATTTAAAAGACTATCATAAACCTGTTCTACTAAAAGTTAAGGTTAAATTGATATCTACTAGCAAAATACTGATCACAATTTATCAAATTATTCGTTGTGTTGAAGGTCTATTAGAAACAATATTTCTAGTTTTACAAGATAGGGTATAACTGTATCTTATGGTATTACACTGAATTTGTCATTGTTATTATTGTTGTAATTCGTCAAATTATAGCAAATTTGATGCTTGTTTGTATGTCTAACCTTAAAAAGAGGTTTCCAAAAGGAAATGAGCTATCTTAAACCCATGTGATGAGTGAAAGGTTACATAGCAGAGAAGATTTCTTAGGGATATATAATTAAATGAGAAGCTTAGGTTTAGCAATTCTATGCTTAAATGTAGGGATTTTATTGTAATGTCAACGGGTTGATTTTTGCACGGAGAAATAAGAACTTTTTCAAGTGTTTCTAGTAAAAAAAATTTGTCATCGCTCCAGTTAAATCTAACTCTAAAATTTGTTGAATATTTGATGGAAACAAAAAGTGCTCATGTTTGGTAAACTTAAGGGAGCAATACTATTTAAGAGTATATTTAAAAGACTATCATAAACCTGTTCTACTAATAGTTAAGGATAAGTTGATATCTACTAGCAAAATACTGATCACAATTTGTCAAATTATCGGTTGTGTTGAAGGTCTATTAGAAACAACATTTCTAGTTTTACAAGATAGGGTATAACTGTATACACACTATTCTCCCCAGACTTCACTTATGATATTACACTGAATTTGTCGTTGTTATTATTGTTGTAATTCGTCAAATTATAGCAAATTTGATGCTTGTTTATATGTCTAACCTTAAAAAGAGGTTTCCAAAAGGAAATGAGCTATTTTAAACCCATGTGATGAGTGAAAGGTTACATAGCAGAGAAGATTTCTTTGGGATATATAATTAAATGAGAAGCTTAGATTTAGAGATTCTATGCTTAAATGTAGGGATTTTATTGTAATGTCAACGGGTTGATTTCTGCACGGAGAAATAGGAACTTTTTTGACAGAATTCATCAAAAACTCCTTAAACTTGTTCATATTTTTCACTTAAATATTTTATTTTAACCCCGTTCCATTAATAATAAACTCGATGGTACTTAGTATAACTAATCTTCTTAGGGTGTGTAGTTGTGTAAATTTCCCAACATGTCGTGACACATAACTAAAGAATTTATATAAAATATACGGCCATAATGAAGGCGTTTTTGGAGCGAATCCAGAGCAAGCTCGACGACCGACGGGGCGTAGTAGGACACATCTTTTGCATTTTCAAAAAAGTTAGGAGCACATATCTTTATTTGAAATAATACAGGCGAATGCATTATCATTAATCGAAGTAACTAAAAACTATGATTTTCTACACATCTTTCAATATATTTTGTCGCATGCACTTTTCAACATGTCATAAGCAGTTTTAATGGAACTTTGTAAATCTTAAACCATGTTAGTAGAATAAAAAATTATTAAGAATTACGTTCATTAATTATCAAGGTGGTAATCATGTGCCAGGTGTATTTTCTAATTAATTTTTATAAACATGTATCAAAATTACTAGATTAAATAATCATGAGGTGTTTAGGTCCAGTTATTAATAATATTGCAATCATGTGCAAAACAAAATACTCATATGAATATAACAAGTGCATGCGAGAGTCTATAAATTACACCATCTGAAAAGCATTGAAACACTACTACAAAACCGTTTCCAAAGCTTATATCATTGTTCTTATTATGGCATTGTTTAAGATGGGTTTCGTTTTCACTGTTCTTCTCGTGGCAACTGCGAGTTAGTATCTATCTCACCTTAATGATTCTACATTATTGTCCATGTCACAATATATGTAGGTCGATAATGTCATGTCTCTCCATGCATGATGATTCAATGTGTTACTACTAAAAAATACTGGAGTTAGCTACGAACTTTATCGCTAATCTGTCACTAAATCGTTCATATCTAACAGAAAATTTTGATAATCTGTCACTAATCTATCGCTAAGTAGTATTAGTAATGGAGTTTTGTCTTAAGCTATAAAATTCGTCTGTTGCTATTTCATTTATTTTAGTAGCGTTATTTTGTGTTACATCGTCAACATATTTTGATTTTGTACTAATAACGATAGTGGTTAACTATTTCAGTTAAAATAGCATGGTTTTCTGAGATGCATCTTGTGGTTGCACGGAATGTTGATCATGATTTCCCAGGACTCGAGCGGAGACTGCTTCCACAACTTAATGGACTTACATGTTTTCGATCTTGTGAACATACCTATTATTGTGGCAAGGATTGTTGGGTTTGTTGTGCTTGCCGTGGAGATAAGGGAAACCAGATATGTATGCCTTAAAGGTACATTGGTGTTCAATTGTAATGTACTTTGTTTCAGATCCCTATTGTGCATTTATGTTATTGTAAGTCTAGTGTTCCTTGTTTTCTCTTTGTAATTTGTAAGAAAATAAAGTAATTCAAGAGAATGGCTTTTAGTTGCTGTTTCCTATTTTCACTTGGTACGAAAATTAAGTGAAGATATTGGCTTTATGTTAATGAATAAAATGGGATTTGAATTATAATGGTTGTTTGGAGAAATTTTAAGAGTTTGTATGATTCACTATACATATACCATATTTATTTATGATTTACTATTACTTGTGTATCCTTTCTTACTGCTTTAATTATGCGTGCCATGCATCGAGGGTCTATCGAAAATAGCATGTCTACCTGTTTTAGATTAAGGAAAGAAAGTCATTCGATTGCTTCTTCTGGGGTATTCGTGTGCTACTGGAGCACAGGTTGCTAGCTCTATATTCGGGACCAGGTCGGAGTGGGTGAATCTCAAGAAGTAAAGTGTGGTGCCTAAGGATTTTCGAGTTCGTCGTGTGACTAAAGAATTAGTTTTGTAGCGAAGTCTGAAAGAGTCTTGGAGTATTTCTATGAATGTCACCGGGTCCGTGGTGCGATGTTAGTGAGATGGAGGAAACAACTTCGGATTCACAGGAGGTCTTTCAGAATGGGTGTATCAGTTGGAGATACTATTGCGTGCATAAGGAGGGTATGAGATGGCTGATGGCTATTGAGACGATGTGGTCTCGTGGTTTGGGTCACTCAGGATGAGTGTTGTTTGAGGTCCGTTATGTGTTTGAGTAGAACTATTATTTCGAAGGCAAGCCAAGAGTAAATTGAAAGAAGTTGAGTCAGTTAGTAATGGTTTGAATCAGCATGGTTGCGGAAATGATCAGTTCCTTCGGTGTGTTAAGGCTATACATGTGATTCGTGGATATACGTGTTGGCATGACAACCACCGTAATTTAATTGATTTGGAGGTATTTGATTCTGATGGCCTTGTTATGTGTAAATGGATCCCGAAAGAGTTATGGTAGTTTAGACCACGACTTGAGATTTGCATTTTCTGCGGTTATAGGAATTCGGTTGCGTGTTGCAATTGTTCTTCTGAAATAAGTAGAGTGAAAGGGGTTCTAGTCAATGAAGTATTTATTCTACTGGCGGTTCAGGGGTTATGATGAAATTCTTGGACTCTCGTGTAGCGGCATGATAGGTGCAGTAAGCAATATGAAAATTGAAAGTTAAGGATCAGGGTTGCGGTTCAGTTTTGATAAGAATTTCACGAGCTCGAAGGAGCGTGGGAGGATTTCAGATATTCAGAGTATTGCTGGCACTATTTTCGGGCAGCCTGAGGATAGTCTATTTTGTGGAAGAAGTGTTGGGTATTGAAATGCGGATGCTTGACTAGCACTATAGAAATAGCATGGTTGATGGCCATTAATGTTCAGATTTTACTGCATGGTGCCGAAGGTTTTAGAAGTATATCCCACGGGAAGATCGTATAAGTATGACATGTTAGTCATTCGATTGTTAGAGATTGAAATCAAGTATGGAGATTTTGGTACTGCCGTCAATGAGAGAGTTTATGATTGAGAGGCACTCTATTCCTTTGGTTGTGGACTATAGGAGTTTGTTCCGGATTTGATGACTGCTCGTATGTGTCATGAATAGGGTCATTATGGATCCTTGAAAGGTTATTGGCCTAATATGGGATGATTGAAATCGGCTTAAGGTCAATTAGTTGATCTAATGTGAATGTATGCTCTACATTAGGTCAGATGTGTTCATTCAGCACATCATTGCTTATGGAGGAGTCTTTGGGTGTTGGATGTTATTCTTGGCATTCGCTATTCTATGTAATACTCTATTATGTCACGTTGGTTGTGAGAGGGCTTGATTATCGCACATGTGTTGTGATACCATGTAGCTTGTGGTGTTATATGAGCAAGATGACTCTTTAGATGCAGGTCGTTTATTGCACCTTAGTCGTACTTGAGTTTTGTAGCGCATGGCGCTATCCATCTCCCCAAGGTTGTATTTATGCACTTGGCGTGCTTGTGGTCGATGTACGGGCATTTCGTAAGTATAAACATTACGGTTTGATGGGTGTTTCCTTATTGATTGTTATGTATGGATCGGGTGGCACGCCGTCACGGGTATATTGTTTGGATCGGGTGGCAAACCGCCACGGGTATGTTGTGTGGATCGGGTTGCACGCCACAACAATGTCATATTTGGACCGGGTTGCACGCCGCAATATTGTCATATTTGGATCGGCTTGCATGCCGCAACGGTATCATATGTGGATCAGGTTGCACGCCGCAACATTTAGATGTTGTGTACGATTCCTTATACTTATTTGTGTGCCTTGTTTCTCTTTATCTAAGATAGGTTCATAGCATCTGTTTGGCCATTTTATTCGTTACACGGGCTGGATAGTTCTTTGCCAGAGTTTGTTCTTCCTTATGGGTCTTATTTGAGTTATAGGTTGTTGGCGCATTGGTGGCATCATAGGAGATTT